ATGGCACCTTGGGGTTGTTATGAATCCTTTAGGGCTGTGGAAAAGCTGGTAAAACCAAATTAACTGGCTTTACTTGAAAATTACTCAGTTTTAATTGCTTAGTTGGATTACTTAATACCTTTTGATAACATATACTTGCTAACACTACAGCTTACGAAGCTTAAGTAAGCAGAAAAAAGTCTGACTTTTTATACATGAATAAGTCAAATAGTTTGCTTCTTCCTGTCTGAAAATCGCCAAATGGAAGGAAATGAGGACTAATTTGGCAAATGAGGTGCTAGACAGATAAGACGACGAGACACTACGACGAAACGACATTATTACGACAAATGAGAGTTGAAACGTGTAAATTCAACATCACGAATTTAAGAAATTTTTTTTCTCAGAATCTTAACCGGAGAATTTGTGTGTAGCGTCGCCTTAAAGTCCCACCAAAAGCAGTTGTCGTCTCAGCAGCTGTCGTCTTATTTGCCGGACATCGGCGAATGAGACTCCAATTTAACATCACAACTTAATTGAGGAAACATTTAATAGCGAAATTTCCTGTTTCGTCTGGCTACTATCGCCATCGTTGTATCAAACTGCGCACAAAACAATTAAATATTATCAATTGGCGAAGTAACTCTTTTCAAAAGGCGAACCTACGTAATTTTTTGTACTCAACTAACACAGGCGAAGAGTGTGTTTTTTTTTTCAATTCTTTTTGATGTTTTTTTTTGCATGCTAAATTGGATACCCCGAAGGCACTGCATATAAAAAATTAATAGATCTGATTTTTTTTGTTTTTTTTTCAACGCGGCTATCTTACGAAACAAATAAATAATTTCTCTGTTTTTTGAAGATAGTTCGGTTTTAAAAAACGAAAAAAAAAGAATCAGAGATGTGAAATAGTCTATAAACGATATCATTATTAAAGATATTTGTGTAGCATTTTGTTGATGTTTGTTTGTTAATATAAAATCATAAAAGAATATAAAAGATAAATGGTAGAGGCTTTTAGTGTAGTCGTAAGGCGTTTACTTTGAAACCGTCAGATCGCGTATTCGATCACATTCCATGGCAATGATAGTGTGTGAGGACAAGCTCTCACTTGACCTCTAGCTGCAGGTCTACTACAGCCTGACCAATTTCGGCTGCAATAGTGGTACCATGAGAAAGTTCTAGACGCAAAAAATTGGCCTTGAGTCGCAAAAAAGAGCTTTGCTCATTAAAATAACACAGTCTGGAATATGGGGAGATAATACAAATGGACTATCTTCGACATGACTGATAAGAAAACTGCTCGTATCAGGGCAACTCCCTGAATGTTCGGACTGCGTTTTGATTTCTTGAGGGTAATTAAAAATGAAATAAATCATGAAGTTTTCAAAAAAAAAACAAAAAAAGGTCAAACACGCTATGTTAAGTAAAAAGTGGTATATTTGGCATATAGCAAAGAAATAAATATACCAAAAAGAATGCCTCAATCCAATTTGAAACGATTTCTAATAAGTATAAAATCTCCACTTACGCGTTAAGAGCACGAAATTTATCGCGCGTTAATTTTCCCAAAACGGCAAAATTGGCATTCTCTTTAGCCCCCAAACCTTTACAAAAAACAATCACACTGTTTAAATTTGAGCCAAGGACAACAACATTTTTCAAATAATAAAAAATCCGTCTAAAATTGCTAGATAAAAGTAAACTTGTTGATGAAAAAACACCCCCAGCAAACATATATTTTCCAACAAAGGATAAATATAATTCTAACTTACTCAAGCTTACAATGCAGCAAATAAATTCCAAAAAAAGACTTGATTTTTAAGACAACTATTTAATGTGACCAAAAGTTCACAAAATATTGTTTTTTTTTTTAAATTTGATAGTTTATCTGCTAAAACGGGGATGTGGATCAAAGAAATTACATGAGGGCGCGGTTTTCATTGAACGTTTTGTTGAAAATTCTATATTGCCCAGTCCGATTCGTTGAGATCTCCAGAAACTTCAAAAAGACCCTATAAAGTTAAAATTTCGGCACCGCATTAAGCAAAAAGAAAATTTTGAGCACTTTTTGGAAGCTGTAGCTTAAACCGTGGGCGGTTTCCTTAAATTTAGTCTACGATGCCTCAAAATTTTATTCGACGAGGCCTGAGGAAAAATTTTAGGTCGGGTCAATCAAACATGGGAGAGCTTAAACAGTACGGAAGTGAAGGGGTCGAAGTTCTGAGGGAAAGGGGGGCTGCTGTTTGTAACTGTGTGGACTACGTTTTACAAAAATTATTGGTTGCCATATAATCCACGTTTCATATCCAATTTTTCTCGACACAAAAAAAAATCTGTTGAGACCGTTTTGCGACAGAATTAATGATATTTTGTAAATTTTTCGCATTTCGTTTCCGGCAGGCTGATTTTTTTTCGCGGGTTAAATTATATGAGTTTCAATAACACAAAATATCGTTTAGATTGAACAACTGCATTTAAGAATGTCTGTTTTTTCTTGCTTCAGAATTTACAAAGCGTGTTGCATTAACTGTTTATGACTACAATGCTGATTTAATTCCTCCGGACAAAACGAACAAAATTATAAACTTCAAACGAGTTTTCATCAAATAAAAGTCACTTCAAACAAAAAACTATGATGAGCTTTTTGATTAGAATTTTTGCAAAATCAATATAATGAAAAAATACTTTGCAAAGTTTGGGGCTAAAAATTTAACATAAGAAAAATAAAACATAGTGTAAATGACACTTTTTGGCTACGAAAGGAAAATAAACTTTGTTATACAAAAATTAGAAGAATATACCCTTCTTACGTTTTGTCGATCTAAAAAAGAAGTTCACTTTGAAACAATTGTGTCTGCAATTGACTTCGTAATTTCAGCATAACTTTTGATTAACTGAAAACTAGCTAGAAATGATCAGATTTTGGTTAAAATTTAGGGTCCGAACTTTGCAAACTAATTTTGCACCATATTAATTCTGCTAAATTTCCAATCAAAATTTGTTTTCATCATTTTTTTCTAAAATAAAACCAAATTGAGAAAAACGCGTTTAAATTTTTATTCGAATTTATCAGATAATTTAAATTAACACTGTAAAAAATTTTAACGTTGAATACTGTTTATCGGACTTTTATTTGTCATGTGTATATTTCTTTCCGAGCTTTCATTTTCGTGGTGATATTTGTGCACTTTCGTGCTTTGCCGTGACTTTATATTTTATGTATCGGGATTGTGGTGGATGTTCAACAAACCACTCGATGTAAAAACCGCCATATCTTGAAGCTGAAGTTCAGGTCACATCAGAATAACGTAAGCCGCATCTGAATTATGCAGCAAAGGCATAAAAACAGTGACAGACTGTTGTTATGTTGAGTAAAAATATTAATTTTTGCCTAGTTGGAATGGTAGTCTTGATTACTGTTTGTTGGCCCGTCGCCTTCGTGGCCTTCCCTGGCACTTTATGGTCAGAGTTTTGCGACCAATTTGGTTTGACTAGACTTTCAGGACTCAAATCTCGTCACGATCATGCATTTTGGTCCCCGATTGACAACGGCGCGACTTGCAAGATTCTGTTCAATCCCCACTGAACTAGATTCTGTTTAATCTAAGAGATACTGAACTACGTAAGTGAAGGATACTTAGTGAAGGGTAAAAAGGCACAAGAAATTTGATCGCCATTTACTTACCAAATAACGAGAATAAGACATTTCATTCGCTGGCAAAACTGAAACCCAGGAAATGAATTACTCTATCAATTTCCTTATACCGAAAAATGTCAAAAGAAATATAAAAAAACGACACAAGCAGAGTCTAACATATCTAGATAGTTAATGAAGTAGTTCAGTAATTGCAGAACAAATTGTCCAACTTGCAAATTTTCATCGTTTTCTTATTCAAACAAGGGCATCCGTTTAATGTCCAAATAGCACAACATGATCTAAAAAACATATGAAAATTCCGTTGAAAAAAAAAATCAGTTTCGATTTTTTTTCAAATTTTGAAATCGACTTGAATGACTCGCATATAGTTTATGCTTTTAAAATAAACTAATGAACCATTCATGCTTTATAAATTTGTAGGACCTACTATAAGTTTGTAGTTTGTCCTATTAATGAAGGGTAAATTGATCTCTTCTACCCTTTTCCACATTTTGCAAAAGGGGAGGGGGAGATTCGTTACTTGGTAGAAAATTCGCATATGCTTAACCGTTGAATTAGTTCATAATAGGGGTGACAATTCGTTAGTAGGTACCAAAGGGGGGATATAGTTTAAAAAATAATGGTAAATTGCATCCGCTTAGCCCTTAATTTGGTTTTTTAACACTGAAACAACTTTTTTGTGAAATCTGAATTACGACTGATAAGGCTTTAATAGGAACTACAATTGATTTTTATCGAGTTTTCCGTGAAAACCCTTCAATCGGCTGAAAAAATTGTCCGAAAGACGTGAGCATCTGAACAAAAAATGTCCGAACTAAAACGAGTATAAATCAGAGCTGAACGTCCAATGCTAAGTTTTTGTAAAAAGGGGTAGATGTAAAATCAACGCAAGGGAGGTGTTCGAATATTTTGTTGTTGTTTTTTGGTCGACCAAATAAATTTTTCGAGCTTTAGAAAACAGCTAAAGATATCTTACTGTCAGAAATTTATCTGCGGCAGGCAATTTTTTTAAAGTCAAAAACATCCTTGCTCGACTTTTCTGAAAGGTTTTCTCACCAAAAATGCAGTTTATTTGACCGTGTCCCCACCCCTGATAGAGTCAAAGTATATTGGTGCCCCTAAAACAATATTTAAAAAGGAATTTTGAATGATGATGGTTTTAAGTTCGAATCCCAACCTTCTCTTTTTAAAACCGCTACAATTGGCTCATTGTTTTTCAACTGACGGAATATTTAATCAACCTTTTATATATCACTTGTTGTTTTCATTATTTCTCAAAAATACTTGAAGAACGAGCAGTAAATTTTCATATCTGACAACTTTAGAAGCAAACTGGTTGAAGTTGATACTGTTGTTTCAGAAATACTGGAGCTTCAACTCTCAGATTCTTTGCAATGCCTGGATTTCGGTCGACCAGATTTCATGCACTGCTTCGATAGTGCACTTGTGCATGATTAGCATTGACAGGTACCTTGCAATTTCCCGCCCATTTTCCTACGAGAGGTTCCGCACCTACAAGTTCATGGCAGTTCTAATCACCATAGCTTGGACCATAGCTATCATGATTCCTTTGCCACCTTTGATCTTTTTCGGCCACGAGGACGTTCTGGAAACGAAACAATGCCTGGTCAGCCAGAATAAATTATACACAGTTTATTCAACTTTCACTGCGTTTTACTTGCCTCTCTCAGTAATGTGTTTCGTCTACTTGCAGCTGTTTAAAAAGGCAAGTGAAATTAGCCGAAGCACTAAACGCAACTGCAGTCCATATTCCCCTTCGGTTACAAGAAGCACAAAAGTGACCAGGAACGATCAGTCGCAATATCGACGAGCTGGAACTGAATCTCCGTCTTTCCGATCTGAAACGCCCCAGAAAAAAATTTCAAACACAACTGCGTGTTCAAGTCAAAATAACCGATTTAGTAGTTCAAGTATCTCCACTTTGACTCAGTCGAGGAACTACATGAAAAGGACACTGGCTGCTCATAAGAACAACTTCAACAATGAAACGAAAGCTGCAAGGACTCTTGGCTTCATCATGGGAGCTTTCTGTTTCTGCTGGATCCCATTTTTTGTCATAAGTCTTCTTCGTCCTTTCATGGAAGTGGATTTGCCTCCTTGGGTAGACTCGGTTCTGCTCTGGTTAGGATACAGCAATTCGTGTTTAAACCCTATCATATATGGACTTCTCAACCAGGAGTTTCGAACCCCCTACTATCTGATTTTGTGCTGCAGGTTCAAAAACATAAACAGACAATGCAACCTTGCCTTGAATCCGCAAATATCGAGCTTGAACGAGAATGATCTCAATTTGCCACCCGCAACCAAGCGGGGGTCTATTTTTCCGAGACAGCTGCTGAGAAACTCGGTCAGTATGAATAATCTTTCGGGTGAAAAACCGAACGAAAAAGAGATTCCCGAAAGCAATGGAGAGAAATTTTGCCACTCGAAGAAAACCAGCTCCAATGTTCTGATGCTGCCCGTAAATTTGAATAACGGGCAGGTTTCGATAAATGCTCAAAACTCTGCGAATGTCTGCGCCGTCGAAGAAAACACATGCGTATAGAGTAACCTTCAATAACTAATAGTTTGTAGAATCGTCAATCGAATTATCCCATTGGTTGAAATTGTTGTGTATTTTTTTTTTCAAATTTTGGTGCTATTGCGATAATGAAAATGTACTAATTACTATCATGAATTGAATCAAAACGTTTCTAGAAAATTGTTTCAATTTTAGCAAAAGACGGACATTAAAAACTAGAATCATCATCGCTTGCGAGCTACAGAAAAAAGTATTTGTCAGCCCCCGACTACCTTGTAAATTGTCAAAAATTAATTGTTGCTTGTGACGATGTTCAAATCTCGAGATTTATATCGAAAAAAAATAAGTTTGAGATTTGCGTTTTTTTTAGGAACGAGATTAGCTGAACAATCAAGGAATCAAATTTAAACATGCATTGTGAAAGGTAGATCAACCGTACATTCTCTAAGTGATCTACCTTAGAAACCCCCCCCCCTCAGTAAAAAATTTGCATGAGTTTTTTAAAAATGAGTTTTCGAAAAATTTGAATCTTCAATTTCAATTATTTAAATTGGCTTACAATTTACCCAATCATTTACCCAATTGAACTTATTTTTTCAAAGTTTTTCTAGAAATGTGGTTCTAAATCTTGATTTTCTAATTGTGATAAAAAATTGTTTGATGTTATGAGGAAAAAACGGTTTGATGTTATTCGATGAAAAAACTATTTGAAAATTGTTTCATGTTTTATGAGCGAAAAAAGACTCAGGCTTAAATAATCGTAAAAACGCGATTTTTTGGTAAAAATTTTCCAAAAAGTGCCTAAAAACGTCTTTTTTGGCCTGTTTTTTTTTCAAAATTTTGCCTGCGGCGCAGAAATTTCGGTCAAAACAGGGTCTTTGTAGTGATTTGGGAGAGCTCACAAAATCAATTATCAATTTTGGTCGACCTAAAAAAAAGGTGGACAAAAATTTCGAATTTTTTTTGAAAATCCACCCCCCCCTGGTGAAAATCCTAGATCCGCCCCTGGTCAGAACAAAAACAGGTACTGGAGTAATTAGCTGGCATTTTTAAACTTCCATTTTGTTAAAATCAGTTAGTAATTCATAAAGTTTAACATTGGCAGTCTAGTTCTCGCCGGAAGAAAAATAGTTGTTTTCCCAAAAGTTTATTTTGCTTCGAACTTTTGCTTGGGGAAATGTATATCTGTTAGGGCGAATGCTAAACATAAGGCTTGTACGAAATCAAAGCCGTGAACAATTTGGTTCATGAAAATAAGTTCGAGTTTCGAGATCCATTTTCAAAAATTTTGTTTAATTTTATGTTCAATTGTGAGAGTATTACAGTGCTTATTTAAATTAATTGGACAAAACGCGTTAAACTTGAATTTAAAACGCGTTTTCTCAAATTGGGTGGAGTTTAGGTGAAACCTTATGAAGACAAAACTTGCTTCAAATTTTAGCAGAATTAATATGGTGCAATTTGTTTGGCGAAATTCGGGCCCAAAATTTTACCCCAAAAATAGGTAATTTTGGCTTTTCTTAGTTAATCAGAAATTACGCCAAAAATACCCAGTCGATCACATACAAAATTAGATTCAAGTCAGCCCCTCACGTAGCCCAACAAACTTTAACAAGGGTATATTCTCCAAAAAAATTTGCAAACCGTTTAAAAATTGTTTCTAAATAAATAGTTGGTGTTTTATATAGTAGCAGCCGTGTCAGGACATTTGTGTCCCAGACATTTATGTCCCGGCAAAAACAGTCCAAAATGCAAAAAGTGTCCAAGACATTTGGTTCCCAGACAAAATTGTCCCAAAATTGTCCAGGCTATTGCCACACTAGTTAATGACCGGATTAATTTGATAAGCTCTCAATAGGAAGGATTAAATTGATAAGGCCACGCAACTGAGCACTTAGACCAGAAATTACTTCGCCTAGCAAATTAGAGATGAAATTAACACAGGACTCAAATCATTTACACATACCTACACAATTATTGCTTGATTGATAATGTTGCCAAACGTAGACACGAGAGATCATAATTTCATTGTTATTGCTCTCGAGTTCGTGTTGACAATGGAAATTCTTATGACAAATAAAAACAACGAAATGCTAGTTTATGATGCATACGCATACTTCAAACATCGAATTCTAACAGACACCTCAATTTCGTGGCGATGTGTTTTATCGAAATGCAATGGCCGTGTGCGCACTTTCCAAGATAACGTCACTATCATAAATGAACACAGTCATTTTCCCGATCCAGCCGATATTGAAAAACGAAAATTCAGGACAGCTCTCAAAACAAGAGCAGTTGTGTCAGATGAGCCACCCCGTCAAACAATTCTTTCCGTACAAAGAGACATCAACAGAGAGACTGCAGCAGTAATCCCGAGCTATTCTGCCAACCAGAGGACAATTAATAGAGTCAAACAGGAAAAACGGCCCAGAATGCAGGAACCCCAATCCCTAACTGATTTTGAACTGCCAGAGTTGCTGAAAGTGACACACAGCGGCGAGCGTTTCCTCCTGCAAAGAGTGTCACGTTATAAAAAACCTCTTTATGTCAAACTTGACAAAAATCTTTCAGAAATGGTTGCGGCCTACGACCCAAGTAAACTTCTGAGTTTCCTAAAAGGGTGCAGCAGCAACATCAAACTATAATTTAAAGTCAATTTATTTTCCAAAGTTGATATTGCGAAGCAATAATTTTCAATAAATTTTTCTAAGTTGAACTTTTTCCCAGAAAATTTCAAAATTGAGCTAGACCCGATTTGAAAACGACAAAATGATCAATGTAATCAAGCTTTTCCCACCCTCTTCCCTTTTGGCTCAATCAAGTCAACCCATTTCAACTTTGCCCTAGTTTACCCATTTTTGGGTTTTTTAATTTCAAATATTGACTAAATTACGAAAATTTTTTGTCGAGCCCGAGATTTGAACTTCAAACCTTTTGCCCTTGAGACTTATGACTTCATCACTCGGCCAAATGCGCTTTTAAATTTCAAAATTTTTTTGAAAGTTCTGTCTCATTTTGACTGTTCTATGGTTAATTGGTACGCATAAAATCTACTTAAAGAACGATCAAACAACCTCAAAAGAACAAAGCATTAAAGATCACAAGGTCAAATCAAAGAAATTAATTTCGCAAAACAATTTCGGACAATTTTGTCTGGGACATAAATGTCTGGTACAATTTTATCATTTCGGACTGTTTTGTCAAGGACACAAATGTCTTGGACACAAATGTCTATGCACCAGTAGCAGCATGTTGATATAACAGAAGTCAATTAAGCAATTTGCAGAAATAAAAAAAAACTGCTTGCGGATCAGGGCGAAGCATTGAATGATGAAACAGTTCAGTTTCTGTTAAAAATTTGGAGCGAATTATTCTTTCGCAGGCATATATCGCGTAATAATTATCCTAAATTAGCCGAACTTTATGAAAAATGGTCACAAATAAAATATCATTGTAAGTTTGAGCTCCAGAGAACAAAACTTTTCAAATAACATAGAATAAAGAAAAATGTCAAAGATGGCTAGTTAAAAGTCAAAAATTACCTGGAGAAAAAAAACAGACGAGCACAAAAACTCAGTCAGATTCCTCAAAAGTCGGAACATTCAATCGAATATCATGAGACGCGCTCAATTCTACTATGTAAAATTCAACTTTTTGGATTATTTTTCATTTTTTCCAGAGCTTACTAGATAACTGAATCGAATTGAGTTTGATAAAACATTTTTGGGGCAAATTGCATAATGACGCACTGATTGATACAATATCGGCCTTAAGTTCAAAATGTTGACTTTCATTAAGTTCCCATTCAATTTTGAATGATTTGTCTCGAATTGTATGCAGAAAAAAAATTAAAATGCACGTTAATTAGCGTACATTGCATGCAGTCGAATGCTAATGTTATCGTGATTTCAAATCTTTTATAATGGCATAATGGCATGTGGAAAAAAATGGAGAGAAACTATTATTCTTTAATTTATGTCTCGTTAGAAAAACCCTGGCAAGAACTGATGCATCTAACATTTTGAAAAACAGAACGGAACAAAAGTAAGCTAGTTTGGAAAAATCACATATATTTTCAAGCAATTATCATTTCAATGTAGGCTTGTTAATGCCAAACTCAACATCTCCTTAATCACTGATATGTTTTCAAAAATTTCGGAGCCGACAAAAAATGAAACAAGATTGCTCGTATCAGGGCGAAGCCCTGAATGTTCCAACTGACTTTTAAGGTTTATGGAGCAGCAGTAATAATATAAAAAAATTAAATGAAATAAAACAAAATGAAAATTTTTTTTTTCTAAAATTTGAAATTTTTTATGAAATCATCACCCCACACGCCATATAAAGTACAAAAGGATAGTATTCGCTCCTTGTAACAAACCAATTATGGCAAATAAGCTTCGTTCAACCAATTTGGAACGATTTATAAGACGGATTAAATCTCCGCTTAAGCGTTAATAGCGCGAATTATATCGCGCGTTAATTGTCCCAATGAGTTATGTCCTAATGGTTAACTCATAGAGTAATTTCGCATAGGGTACATCGTCTGCTCGTCACGCTATCTTATTTTCGGCCGGATAGATTCGTGCAATTTCTTAGTCTAACACCGATCCTAATCTTACTCTTATATCTACTAGTCTCAGGGTGTTTAACTAGTCTCTGCTAGGCTCAATAGATCTAGAGTATACTGGCTTATTGCGACTGCTGAAGTTCTCTTGGAGAGGTAACTAATTTCTAAGTTAAATTCAAATCTCTCTGGTGCTGAAATTACAAGTAATTTCAGCACTTACAAATAAGTGGGTTGCTAGTTAGATGGAATATGATTGGTTAAAATTAAATATTTTATAGTGATAAAATATCTAATTTATCCAATAACAAAATGTATTTTAGATCAAGTTCCACCCATCCGGGGTTTACAGAGTTTTTAGATTTATCTCTCTTTCTGTAATTGAAGGATGGATGATGAACGTTGGTATTGGGCGAACATCATTTTCTTATCCGGTTCCTCTTGAAGAAGAACGTTCCAGGACGTTGGAATCAGGGATAGGAAATGGTTATTTTGTCATTCGACAACGACTCTGATCCCCAATGAAATCATTCCGATTTCAAAATGGTTTGCTATGTCAGATTCTTCTGTATTAGTAGAGAACTGTTCTGTGTGCAGCCTCGTCTGGGAATGGCGTGAAAATCGTGTTTGGAAGGGATGTCTTGTACGATCATTTTCTGCGAAGTCAAGTCGTACTCTAAATCCTTTGAGTCGTGATTGTGGACGGCAT